CCCCCCGTTTGTGGTACACCGGTGTTCCCCACTTTGGCTACCCCCACAGGACACACCACCCACCTTCCCTGGCCACTCCCCATATTCCACCTCGCCGTTGTGCTCGCTTTGGGGGGGCACCCCTCCCCCCCTTCGGCTTGCGGCTCGGTCTGTGATGGTGCTTTGATGCGTCGTATCTCTGTTCCCTTTAGTCAGATCTACATTACACCATTTCGCGTCCTGATCATGCCCCAGACACTCGCGACCTTCTCCCTTGAACTGACAACCAATATCCTTCTTTGCCCTTTGATGACCCCAAAACATCTCTTGGATCACCTCAAACCAATCCTTCCCTTGAATTATATACTCCGAGTTTCCCTCTCGCTCCCCTCCCAAGTTCGTAAACCAGTTGTTCATTATATGCTCCGCCACATCATCTCCCCCCCACTCTGTCAAGTGTCGGTAGAAGTTCCTACAGCCCTCTGCATTCAGCTTGAGCACAGGCTCCTTTCCTTCATATTTGGTCTCCAACCCAAAACTCTCAATTAACAGATACACTAAGTCCTCACATACCCTAAATCTCCTGCTCCTGGTCTCGTCTGCTATGGTATTATAGTTGCCGTCCAGTTCTTGCCACCGCCAGTTGTTCCGATTTTCCATGCAACCTGACCTGCTTTTTCCTCCGGTTAGCTGTAACCCCATAGTGTCCACATTACAAGGCGCTGACTCCGACCAATAGACGCCGGTTTTCCTCCTCTCTAGACTCGAGGCCCACTTTTCTAAATTCTTGCATATTTGGCTTGTCATGTTTAGCGAGTTCCTCAAGGCGTCGGCTCTCTCGGACACAATGGGAGCCTTGCGCCATGACTGTTCCTTGTTTTCGTTTCTCGTCCATTTGCTTATCTCGCACGCCCGCATTTTGCCGGGGGAGGAATTCGGGCAATTCCCTGGTTTGGTTGCTTTATTCAATATATAGGACATATACCCGTCTATATCCATCCTTCCCTAAGCCAGAGAATTGTTTCCTCTCTAACAAATGATCGGACTTCGCATATAGTTCTCTAGGTAAGTCATTTGGCTCAGAGGTTTCAGTTACGCCCTCACTGGCGACATTATCGCCGTGACTTTTGAGACTATAATACCGTTCAGACTACTTAGCCCTTGCTTCCTTGCTCTCCTTCTTCTCCCTAAAGTCTCCATTACTACTTCCCTCTTTCCCTTTGGGGATACGGAGGCCCTTTTCGCCCTCGGTACGTGACCCCATTCGTCCTCTCCCCGAGAAAAGATCCATCGGAAGCCTCCCCCCGAGGTACCCTCCCTTTCCCCCCCTTCTTTCCTCGCCCACTCATGGATACATTTTGTCCGGCGGCCTTTGCTAAGATTCACAGACCCCTACTCCCCTCCCCTAAATCCCCTCGGGCTCCGGCGACCCCTATTCTCCCGCCTGGCTCCGCGGCCCACGTACTGTGGCTGAACCCTCGTTTTTCCACCAGCTCTCCTTCAGTCCTGTGTCTTGAAGATCTCTGTTACGCCCTTAGTCTCAAGCCTGTCTCTTTGTGGTACAACTATTCCTCCATCTCTTAGGCTTGGACCCAAACTCATAAATGCCCGCGATTCCATAGGCGTCTTGTCCCTTAGACGCTTGCTTTTCACTTTATCTCCTCATCTATATTGCTGCTACTCCATAGCACACCCACTTCCAGTCCTGATATGTGACGCCGTCTTGGGCGTCCTGTTGCCTCTTGGTCTCATTCATCTATAAGCATAGCGGGTGTTGACTTCGTCTTTACTAGGTTATGGTACTCTGGGGACTTATATATGACACCCATACACACTGCCATAGGTCCCAATTCAGACTTTCTTTTATCTCTTTATACTACTTACACTCGTAGAAGGGCTGATCACTTTTCCTCATTCCTTGGAATCCTCCCCTTTAAAGTCTGATGTTAAGGTGGGTCCTCCCTCTCGCAAAAGGATCAACACCCTTTCAACGTTGCTGACCCCCCTTGGGGTCGGCTATACTATTTCTTATCACATCCACTAGTGCATTCCGCTGCTTGACCTGGTTCCTTCAGGCTCTGAAATGCTCTCCTCGGTAAAAGCTCCTAGGGTTCCTAGCCCCCTCCCCGTTCTATTTCACGAGGTGTCTACTTGACCCTCCCAATCCTTCACCTGCACCTCTCCTTCTTGCTCGTTATCTATAATGCTGGAATAGTCTGTGACTCGTGTGGCTGTTTAGTAGGGGATTTCTTAGATTTCCTGCGTCCTTTGGGGATATAGTTCTTCTTGTGTACAACTTCCCTACTATACTCCTCTTCTGGTTTTGTTCTATCCCCCCCTGCCGCGTAATTCATCTTTACACCGCTCCGATAGCTTAAAATTAATTTCCCCTCTACTTGCTGTTAAGACGGGTCCTCTATTAAAGCCCCTGGGGGATCCCTAATTAATCCTTTTGTATTGACCAAACATGCTTGGAAGATTTCTAATGATCCTTAGTCTGTCCAATTCCACTTGCCCCCCCCTTCATCAGTTAAACCCTTATTCTTCAGGGGAGCGCTCTCATTACGTGTCACTTACGCCTTTACTTAAAGTGGTCATAAACGATCTCTGCCTGGAGCATCTCTTTTTGTGCCTCCTGGGGGCTTTATCCCTGTAAGCCCTAGTTTCCTTTGGGTTCTGCTGCTGTATCGTGTTGTTTTTAATCTGGGCTGTACGGGCCTCGGTTTGGGGTGATTGGACTTTTTATCCTGCAGTACTTTGACTTCCTCTATTATTGTGCTCCCTCTTCTTCTGCCATAATTAGGATACTGACTCTTCTTAAAACCCCTCCTTTCCGGATCTTCTGCTCCTTTTCGGTGATATTTGGGGTCTCAGTTGGCCTGATTTCACGAGATTCCCCTCCTTTTTTTTCCTATTTTTCATAACTCCAATTCTTTAGAAGCTTAGTGAATTGCCTTTCGCGTATTTCTTTCATATTTACTACAATTCTTGCTGCATAATTATGTGCCACCAGAATACTTCTTTATTCTTTGCTCCAGCTTCTGTGAGACTTCTGCCAAGGGGATTCAGTAACTTCCTTGACTTTTTCTTCCTTCATAACCATCTTCTAGCGAATAATAAGCACCCTTATCCTACTTTAACCTCTATCAATCTGGATTATTCCTGAGAATTCATGTATACTTACTTCTCCGGGAAAGATGCACTACCACTGTCCTCTCTATAGCTTAGCCCAGGCGGATTCATTCTCGTGTATGGTAATTCGCACGGATTTTTCGTTCTGCTCTTTGACCCTTCCAGGGGCACACCTTTTTTCAGTTGTGCTATTTTGTTGATTGCCTTCTTATTTATTCAACTCCTCTAACTCCTTCCCACTAGTTCCTTCCCCCTGAATGCCGATATTGAGGCTTTCCACACCTATTTTTCATTAGGATCTTTAAGTGGACTCACCCATTCTTCCTTTTTTCATTTACTAGGGACTTCTTCTTTTTGTATTTGTCTCTACTCGTCCGTCCGGTTCGTCCTGGGAAGCTTTCTCCTTCCTGCCATTTGTTAATTATTCTGCCTACTCCTTACACAGATGTCTCCTCCTTTCCCATTTTTCCTCTATCCTCATTGCCACGGAAATATCGTCTTTTCTCCCCGTACTATTACACCATCTGGGGTTGTTCAGCTAAGACATTGGGCTTCTGTAGACTTTACTACCTGGGAGTTTAGGCACCCATAGACTTCTTATTCCTACTACTCAATTACCCGCTTTGGTACAGAGCCTGGGGATTTTAGATTACGAATCATCATGTTCTTCCTTGCTGGACGATATCCATTCTTTTATGTTGATCCCTAAGGGAATTTGCTACTCCCTTTATCTATCACCATTGATAGGCTCCTCCCTCCTTTTCCTATTGGGCTTGATCTTTCCTGTGGAGTTGCTAAATCCTGCTGTGCTGGTTTTCAGTTTGGAGTCTAGTCGCTTACGTACTTCGGCTTGTTCCTTGTTTTCCCCGGGTGCTCCTCAGCTTTTGAACGGTTCCTCCTGTTTTTCCCTTGGCTTTTTTGGACTTTGTCTCCCGCCTCGGGGTCGGAGTTATCCGTTTCGTGGCTTATTTGGGTTTTACACGACGGTAAATCCTTTTTTTCTCAGGGTGATGTTCCTGAACTTTAGAGATTATGACGCACCACAGAAGGATTCATCGTCTTGTTCCCTCCTTATCTGGTTTCTTTGTTCTCTGTTATTTCCCAAATCATTTAACTCTTGGTATTTGCGCCTGGATTTAGAGAGTCTTCGTTTCATGCTCTGCCCTTGTGGATATTTTTTAAGTTGTTTTTGCAATTATGATATTACTTTTCTTCCTCCATAAATCTTATACCCTCCTCTGCCCTCCACTACTTAAATCCTTGGATTAAGTACCTTTTTTCGCCCTGAGACTGGTTCCCTAGTTCATAAGGATTATTTACCTGGGCTAGTCTTCTCTGGGGATCCTTGCTTCCCCCTTTGTACATTTGGCTTTACCCCTCGTAAGGGTTGCTTGCCTTGGGTCACTCCTTCTTTTTCCGCTCCAGTTTCCGTAGTATGAATTTGTCTTATTATACCTCATAAGATACTCTAATGGTGAATTAAATAGAATGCCACTGATTTGGCTTTTGTCAGGGGATTCTAAATCTTATAGGTGAGATTTCTTCATGCCCTGTTCCACTTCTACTGGTTTGAAGCCTCCTGGGCCTGCTGCCTTGTCCCACTTTCTTTATTCAGCTTCCTGGAGCTCCCACTTCTGGGTGGCTGTCTTTGCTGAAACTTCCAGCCCCTAGGATGATGCCCTTCGATCTTTGCTTCGATGAGTTGTATTTCTGCCTTTCTTGCCCCACTTCTCTTCTCAGTCTTCTTTCCTTCCATGTTTGAATTGTGGTTGTGGGTCGTCCGTTTTTCCTCCACTCGGGTGTTCGCTCATTGAACTCAAAATTCACCACTTGTTGGAGATATCACTATACTTCCGGATTAATACTTCTCAACCCCTTGGTCCAATGTTTATAACTACTACGGCATCGTTAGGTTCCTTCTTTGTCTTTGAGTGTTCCCCCTTTGATTACTCCACCTTGGCCATTAATGGCATCTACTGATGCGCCAGAATGTGCTAGGAGCAGATTTACCGCGTGCGTGGCGGGATTTATTATTTCTCTCTATGCTCTAATTCAACTTCTGTCCTCTGCCTTTGTCACATCCAGACAGCTACCTGATTTTGTGATTCCATTCTGAATTAGACCTTTTTGTCCGACATTTGCCGTAGTGTTATGCCGTCAGCTATAATTTTCGGTACCCCTCTGCTTTCACAGGTGACTTGTCCCTTGTTTGGGTATGGGCTTATACTTCATTTTGTAAGGCTTGGTTTACTCGGGGTGTATAGGCCTGTTAGACGAATCCTGGGGAGTTCCTCTTCTTTCTATCCTGAAGTTTCTGGCGATTCTATTCTTCCGTCTTGACCTTTTAGTTTATCTTCTTTTTCTAGGGCGAGAAGTTTGGGATTTCTTTAGGGGGGCTTCTTCATAGACTTTAATTCTTTTCCCATTCCTGCATCTGCCGCGTCATCAGGTCTTGCTTGTCAGATGCTGATCTTCTTTCTCTTGAATCCTTTCTTCCTTGTCCGATTTTTGCTGTTCTTCGGATCGACGGTGCTTCTGTTGCTCAATCTTATCCTGATAATTCCTCCTTAGGCTTCTCCGGGTTCCGTCTATATGTACGGGATACTTGTACCCCCTATCATATTCCTTCATACTAGATATCTGATCTGACATTTCTCCTTCTTCACTGCCTTCTTTGACGAGATTCCCTTGTTTTCTACTTCAAATATCCTGAGCGGATCGGGGCGAATTATTTCCAACTGGTCCTATTCTCATATCGCCGCTTCGGGGCCTATAAATGATCCTCCCTGTAATACCTTCCTTTGGAGAATTTGTCTTGCGGGAAGATCGTAATCCCGGAACGCCCCTTGAAGGAATATTTCTGTTGGAACTGACTTGGGGGCTTCCTTCTTTAGCCTAACTTGGCCTTTGGTTTTCAGGTGAAAATCTTTGTTGGAGAAGGGGAACCTTTTGGGGAAACCTCATCATTCCTGCGGGGGGGGGCTTAGACAGTTAATGGGGTAGTAGTCGTATTCCTTTTGCGGTTATCGCTCTTCTGTGTCTTCCTTCCGCTCTCCGCTAGAATTCAGCTCCTCTTGCGAATTATCCCATGAATCATGACATTTAGTGGCTCTAGAACCATCTTACTTCAATGCTCCTGCACCTAAGGAGTGATTTCTACTATTTTGGTCTCATCCCTATTCATACTTATGCGTTGCTTCCCTGCACTAGGTCTCCTGCTCCTTCAATGCGATTGGCTCACATGCTGTTGTGGCCCCATCGGATACTTTCTGTGTCGTTCGTTTGGTGCTTACTTGGTTATATAGTTAGTGGTGTTATCAGCCTCCCAGATATTACTACAAGGATTCTTGTTCTGCCCCCTTCTTACTATTTCTATGATTTGCGATCACTGATATGACTCATCTTATCAACGTATGTGTGTTATCTCTATTCCTGCTCTGATTTCCATGCTTCTCTTCACGGAATATCCTTATTATCGCTTTCAAGTCTTTGTATCCCTTGGCTCCTATTTTTCCTCTCTTCTGGGCATTTTTAGTTGCTCAATTCCCTTTTAGGTTCAGGCCATTTCACCCTTCCTTTCTTCGGATCAGCTCAGTGTTCCCTGGTGTTCCAACCGTTATGACACATCGATAGTCCGGATTAAGGGGGTCCTACTCTAATTTTCCTCCCGCAAGGATATCGCCCTGTGTCTCCGGCCCCCTTATTTATTAATTCACTCCCTCGTCCTGTTCGTGCAGTTGGGTTGTGCCTTCCACTCTGTCATTCGGCTGGTTTTCCTTTGGAGGTGTCCTTTATTTCTTCCTACTTCTTCCGCCTTTGTTACTCCCTCCTAAAGTTGAGGGGATTGACGTGGAGTTCCATATTTTCAACTACTTGCCCTTCATCCTATCCGTCGTTTTCCCTGCATCATACTCTACCTCCCCATATCAGGGGCCCTACTTCCCCTTACCCTGTGTCATGTTGGATCCTTCTTTTGTATTCAGGATGCACATACCACCTGTCTCGGCTGCCAATGAAGTTTTTCAGGGTGTGCCTTCTGTTATCTTCTAGGGGGATGTTGGGCCTTGTTCTTATAGAGGGTTTCCAATTGTACGCCTTCCGGTTATGGCGTGTTACTGACTTCGCATCAAGAGATATACTCCGTACGTATTCAATGGGCTCCCTACTTCTTCTTAGCCCATAAGGTGTTCTCTTGGAGTCCCTTAGGTTCCTTGAATTGGGCCGTCTTCCTAGTCCTTGACTCTCGTCTACTGTTGTGTAGAGACTTCGACAATTTGTTGAACTGCTGACTAATCTACTTGTCCGTCCTATTTCACCTGCTCAATGGATTATTTTCCTTCCCGAATTGTTATTTTCTCTTCCAGTGGAATTTCTGCTTTTCTTATCCCTAACCCATTATGATTCATCTTCCAATTCCCCTCCTTTCCTTAGTTCCTTATCCCATGCATCTTTTCTCCATACAGGGATCCAGATGGTTGGCCTTATACTCTTTACACAGGCCTAGTGCGTAATTCTTTGGAGCTATACCCCCACTACGGAATCTTTGGGGTAGTGTTTCCTTTACTTGTCCCTGCCCTGAATTTGATTTGGTTTTTACTCAGCTAGGCGTCCTTAGTGGATATTGGTAATTTAAGGGTTTTTTTAGGTTTCTGCCTTCCTTGGAATGGTCCTCTATTTGGCTAATTCCTATTCTACGCCATCAGGCCTTTATTTCATTATTATGAATTCCTTTAGCTTGCTCATTCATTATTCCGTCTTTATGGAAATAGATTTTCAGCCTGTTTTATATTTGGCACTGGTTCCTCGGCTTCCTGCTCTTTTTTTTGCATCAGTATCCTTGTTGCTCCCTGGAGTCATCTTATTCCTCTTATTCTATACTCTATAGGTACTCCATATAGGGGGTGTCTAACTCCCTGTATTGTTCCCTTCCATATATACTTATCCCTATTCACTCTACTGCTTGTCCATGCGGCACTTGCTTAATTCATCCGTCCAGATATACTGGCCCTATTCCTACTGTATCCCCATCGTTCTTCCCTTCATACGCTGTATTGGAGTCTTTTCCCTCCATAATACATAATCTGAACTATTCCATTCTCTTCGCACTCTGCCATATTTTGGTACGCGACCTGCTTCCTATTTGCTTCCACTCCTATATTCTTTAGACCATTTTCCTCTTCTGCATCTGTCTCTCTTTATCTTTCTACTCATTTCTGTACCCCACTGCCTCCACTCTTGCTTCACCTCATAATATACAATACTTTATCTCTCATTATTTGCCTTTTTTTACAGGCATAGATTGGATAATATCCCTCTATTACTGCCGATCTTAGGTTACTCCGGTGTCTACCTTGGGCTGGCTTTTCCACCTTGGCTTTGTTCTTCCTCCTCTTTGTCTAATTATTTTATATCGACTCGGTCATATATCCGCTCATGATCTTGATCTCTATACGGCTCATCCGGTCATACTCTTTATTAAACTCGTTCCACTTCTTATACCTCCCTTTCTGCCTATTTCTCTCCTCCCTCTGGCTCCCCGTCCGGAGCGTCTCTGCCTCTGCTCGTGTCTGATTACACTACCTCCCCCTGTTCACGGGCGCGTATCTCTTAATCTACCTCTCCATTGCGCAGATCCCCTACTCTTAGGTCTCTCCTCCTGTGCTCCATTGTGGTCTCGTGCTCTTTCTCTTCTTCTCCTATAATATACACTATTCCTTATCAGGAAATTATTAATCATCATATGAGGCGGAGGTGCCAGATCATATTCTTTCGCTCATTTACTCCTCAGCACCTCACGGCATCCTTCTCTATATCATCCTTCAGGATATTTTGTATAGCAAACGAATTATCCTATAGGCCACAATATCGTGTAGGCTTCTACTTAAGCACTTATTTCTTTGTCACTTGGGGGGTAACTCTATACTATGATAAGGTACTGAAACATAAGGAGTCCCTTTCTTATTCATACGATCCCCATAATAACTCACCAATATTTCCAGAATTTTGACTTAATTAATCAGGGGGAATAACACACAGTAGTTTCATAAAATCCATTCCACTCATTATTAAGGGAGTGAATTTCCCTATTAATGCTGATATTCCTAGATAGAATTACACCTAAAACTAATATAAAAACCATATCATTGCCAGAATGATCATGCATTTATTTACCTGTTCTCATTTTTCAGAAGAACTTCATAACTTTGTGAAGGGGTAAGACTCCTTTATAGGACATGTCCTTATGTCAATAGGGGAATGTATGCATTGTTTAGGCTTATACTCCTTTATGCATAAAAGGGGTTATGAATACCAAATAACATTCTACATCCTCCTGTGGTGAATAAGGAGACGCCCGTTATAGCATCCTCTATAGTCTTAGATACGGACAAAAATGAAGTTATTGTACGACTTCCTATACTCCATGGACTCAGCACAGATTCAAGATATTATCTGTCTTTATCTCTTTACTTATATGTTAGAAAACATGAAACCCTCGATTTCATATATCTATTTTGTCAGAGTGAAAGATCTGCTGCTTACATTATTCCTTATGTGTTACTCCGAGTGTGTTTCTGGGTTCTATGCTCTCGGTCTAGTGTCTAATCTTCATCCCCTGAGTATCCTCTTCTGTCTCCTCTCCTTTCGTGTGTTGTCTTCTGTATATATTAATTATGTACCTTTCCTTTTAAGCATTTCCACTTTGATCGTCATGTCGATATCTCCACTGGTTTGTAGTCTATTTATATGGTCTTACATATATCTCTCTCCGTTCCTTGAAGTAGATAATTTTCTCAAATATGTCAGTTGTATTCGTATATACATTCTATTATAGTCACCCCCTCCTATATGGTTGCTCCCCCCGTTCTCAGTTTAATGATTCTTTAATATCTTATGTTTATTGCTATTCTTATCCTTATTTTATCCCCTTCGCTTTTTCGATGTCATTATTATTCCTAACTCTCCACGAGAAACAGCTCGTTTTATATGTTAGTATCCCTTTTAGAATTTCCTATCTCTCCCTAGGGTATAACAAGTTTAATCTTTCATTTTACATAATTGTTATATTTTAATAGTATCGCATCGATCTCGAGTTCCCTTAAGAGGAAAATATTACAGATTAAGGCGGATGATCAACTTTTCCGTAATCATTGTTTATTAATAGTACGCGGATAATTATTGAATCTATATTACAATAATAGTGAGAGGGAATAATCGCAGTTCACGACGTATTACTGTACTTACAGTGTCACTCTGCCTATAAAAAGTTCTTCCTATATATAAGCATCCTCGGTATGCTGGAACCCTTTTTAGTGATAGTATCCCTCAGTTCCTTATACATCATGAATACCCTTATGATTGGTATATGCGTATTCCTGGAATG